CTGCTGCCAAGTGTGCTGGGGAGCCCCCCCACACTTCTGTGGGATGCTGCATCTTCCCCAGCACCACAGTGTTCAGAGATCCTGCTACCTAGGGGTACATAGAAACATCATTTAAAGATGTATCTACTTCCGAATCGCAGAATCTGTCCGAATTTCTCAGATTTATTAGGAGAGATTAAAGGTCCTCTGATTTGATTCAGATTTGGAGATCCAGCCACTGAACTGGGCCGAATGTCCACCAAATTGAATCAGGGACTGAAGCTTTGCACAGCCCTAATATAAGGCCATCATATGCAAAAAATAGCTTATGTCAAATCACCATGAATATACAATTATTCCATCTAATTGTAGTACTCTGTTATGCATTACTGGTTTCCCAGGGCTTGGGCATATTTGAGTTGTCAGGAAAAGCTAGATCTCCGGTAAAGCCAGATCTCCCTAGTACAAAACAGAAAGGTTGGCTGGCTGGATATTAGGTAGTCAAGGATGTCTAGAGATCTCCTGTGATGGAGTACATTGGTTTGTGAAGTCTGGGGAAGGGCATAGCAAGGTCACCATATCTTCCTCCCAGTTTAACACTATGGGGTTATCTCAGCAGTTTATCAAACAGAGCCACCACCCTCCCTGCAGAAATAGAAAAGTCAGTGAGATTGTGGACTTTATCTAATAGGAAGAGGCAAATACTCTCTGGTTCAGGGTGTTTTTTGTTCCTAATGTTATGGAAACTATTCTTCAGATGTTGTATCTATACCAGCATGGGCTATAGGAACTCACTATTTTCCCTGCATCTGGGCAGGGAAAGTAACATGTATTGACTTCCTCACTGCCTTCGCTAGATTTCAACCAAGACTCGTTAACTAGTTTAACCTTGGAGATGATGCCTTTGCACAGCCTTGTGGCAAACAGAGGTAGACAAATTTCCAGAAGCAAACTAGAATAACCTACCCCATATTGGAGGTGGGCGGGTACTAGGCCTCTGCCAACACTGCCACTAGTCTACACTAGGGTGGCCATCATAGCGGACAGTCGGGTTGTCCTCTGTCCTCTCTTGATATGAAGCCAGAAGGCTTTATGTCCTCTCTTATTATCTTCAAATGAAAAATAAAGGACATAAAGGCATCTGGTTTTGTACCAATAGAGGACAAATGGACTGTCCTCTATGATGGCCACCCTAGTCTCCACCCATGGCGAAAAGGAAAGCCCACAGCCAATATTCGTCCCCATGGCAGCCTGGGGAGAGCATCAGAAGACAGTGCCCCTCACAGCACAGCCATAAAATTAGTTAAACCACTGCAACTCAACATGTAGGTGGGCCCTGCAACATTACATATAAGTGCAGGCCTAATCATAGAAAATATTTAGCCTAAATAAACACTATTCCCCTGGAAGTGAGGTTATTGTTTCATCAACCATAATGCTTGTCATTTCTTCCACAGGATAAGAAAACCTGCTGGGTGCCTCAGTTGCTATTAGTATTATCCAGTAGGAAGTCTGGACACATTCGCTAACGAACGTAATTTTTGTCCAGGACTTCAGGCAGAGCCACATGAAGAGGAAATGAAGAGTGAGAACAAAACTCCTTCAATAGATTTCATTCTGCTGGGACTCCTGAGCCGGACCAATGCACACATCTTCTCCCTGGCCCTGATCTTATTACCCCTCATCACTGCCGTGTCTGGAAATGCTCTCCTCATACTTCTAATCCAAGTGGATTCCTCCCTTCACACCCCCATGTACTTTTTCCTAAGTCAATTGGCCTTCATGGACATCTGTCAGATGCTGATTGTTTTCCCCGAAATGGCAGCAGACTTCCTGACCCCAGGCAACCCCATTTCTCCAGCTGGCTGTGGGGCTCAGATTTTTCTCACACTGACAATGGGTGTATCACCGTGCCTCCTCTTGGCCGTCATGGCTTATGACAGGTACATAGCGATCTGCAACCCTGTGCAGTACTCCGTCCTTATGACCAAGAACATCTGCTTTCTTTTATGAGCTGGGGTCTGGATGGGAAAATTGGTAAACGCCTTGATTCACACAGTGTTTACACTGGCTCTCCCCTACTGTGGCTCAAAAGAGATTGACTACTTCTTCTGTGAGACCCCAGCCCTGGTAAAATTGTCCTGCTCTGACACCTCTCTATATGAGGCTCTGGTGTTTGTGAGTAGTGTTGTCCTGGTCCTCATCCTTTCTTCCATTAGACTAGGCACTTACTCTTGTATCCTCTCCAGGGTCCTGAGGATGTAGTCAACCAGAGGACAGCAGAAAGCTCTGACCACTTGCTCTTCACATCTGACTGTCATGGGCATGGTCTACGGGGCAGCCATCTTCATGTACATGAGGCCCAGCTCCTACCACTCCCCAGAGCAAGACAAGATTGTGACTCTGTTTTACACCATTGTCAACCCCATACTGAATCTGCTCATCTACAGCCTGAGAAACAGGGATGTCTTAGGAGCCCTAAGAGAGCTGATTGGGAAATGCAGAGCCTTCCTGCAAAATTGGCAGAAGCTGTAATTCCTTAAGAGCTATGTCTCATTAAAATGAGAAGTTTAGAACATTTAAAAGTCCAGCCCACTCTCCCAGGCACTCGTGTTTTCCTGTTGCTGGATATTTAACCAAATTATTGCATACACAAAGACTTGATGGGGTATTGAAAGTTTGCATTTCCCTTATTCTGACACTCTGCAGATGGCCCAAAACTTTCTGCAGGATATAGGTCAAGTGGCAGACCAACACAAATGATCCGGGGCCTGGGAGCCAAGACTTATGAGGAAAGATTGGAAGTCCTGGGGATATGTAGCCTAGAGAAGAAAAGACTGCCAGGAGGTTTTAATAACAGTCTCCAAATAGCTGAAGGGTGAGAATAGAAATGATAGAAACAGGCTTTTCTCTGAGCTTAGTGGGGACAGGACTAGGAACAATGGCCTCAAGGTGCAGCAGGGCAAATTTGGGCTGGAGAATAGGGGGAACTAGGTGACTTTGGGACTGGTCAGGCATTGGCACAGGCTACCTAGCAAAGCTGAGGAGTCTCCAGGCTTGGAAGCGTTCAAGAGGAGGTAGAATAGACACTTAACTGGGGAGGCTTAATTAGGGGTGATCCTGCTTTGAGCAGGGGGCTGGACTAGATGTGACCTTGTGAGGTTCCTTCCAGTCTTACTTTCCTATGATCCTATGAGTCTAAGTGCTTTGATGCAGACCCTCCCAACAACTTTTAAAAGCACATCTCACTTCAACTTGGTCCCTGTTCTTATTCCTTGTTCCTGACTTCCTTGTATGACACCCTGGTTGCCAACAGGGCTGGGCTTTGGTTTTCTACATGTCGTTTTTGGCACTGACACGCAGGCACATTTCCATTCCTCAATCCATAAGCCTCCTCACAGATTGAGCAGTAGGAGCCAGGGCACCTACCTGCAGCACTGTGGATGTGCAGTGGGCATGAAGCCTTAAAACACCTTCAATCATTGCCCAAATTTAGCAGGACGTAGGAAGGTAGATGGAGAGAGACTCTCATTTTTGCCCCTGAGGAATCAGGGCACTCCCAACTGAGAAGCTGAAAACCTTTATTTCCCACAAATGATTTGAGCCTGAAACACTTGGGCTTCCTAGCAATGCACGTTAACCACCAAACCAGAGATCTGTCTTTGGAGCTCATTTTGAATCTCCACCCCTGGGAAACCATGAGAAGAAGGTGTGTGGAAGATGTGTGCAACCAAGAGGATGGGAGCAAAGCAGATAGTAAGAGGCAGCTGCTTTCGTAGCACAGAGAGAGCCCTGGGTAGTCTGGGCCATTGTTCGAGCAGGGCAGAAACCTTCCCACTTGCACAATCCTTCATCCATTTTTCAATTATAATATTAGTGGCACAGCTTTTAAAAAAGCATTGGAGAAGCACTTGGATAATGACTGCCCAGAGATTGTAGTGGTTAGCGTGCTATGCTAAATGTTAGAAAGACTCACATTAAAATACCCTTTGGGGTGAACAGGTTCTTCAGCCCCTGTCCTTCACTTCTGCCAGCGCATGACCTAGTTACTTGGTTACTGATGCAGAAGACAAGAAGTATGTCTCTTCCACCCTCTCAGCCCGCTGCCAGTGCCCATGCTTGGTCTCTGTGTATGCATCATTTTCCGCAGATGCAAGAACAGATTCCTTCCTGTGCATAAGTGTCAAGAATGACATATAGACAAATCCATAAACTGGTCACAGAGACAACCAAGAATGAATAGACTATGTCCTCGCTGAGCTTCTTCTTGAAGGGTGGATATCAATCAATCAATCAATCAATCAATCAATCAATCAATCAATCAATCAATCAATCAATCAATCAATCAATCAATCAATCAATCAATCAATCAATCAATCAATCAATCAATCAATCAATCAATCAATCAATCAATCAATCAATCAATCAATCAATCAATCAATCAATCAATCAATCAATCAATCAATCAATCAATCAATCAATCAATCAATCAATCAATCAAAAGTGTCAGGTTTTATACTGTTAGCTTTCTCCTGCTTATTGTTCTCAGATAGTCTGGACTATTCTTGACCCATCTCTGTCTTGGTTCCTGATTTTGGACCCTGCCCTGGCCTCTTCCTTGGCTACTGACTCTGGCCCCTGCTGAAGGACTTAATCATGCGGGGTGACTGCCTGTGTTCTTGTTAGTGAAATCTGGTGGTGACTAAAGCCACTTGACTGATTAAACCTGAATGTGCCAGACACTTCACATCATGTAGACCATAAAAGCATAACTGCTGTTTACTGGGTCAGACCATAGGTCCTTCTTGTCCAGTATCCTGTGTCACACAATGGCAGAAAGCAGAGGCTGAAGGGGAGAGTGAAATGACTCTAAACAGGATTTTTTACCCTACTCTTCCTCTCACACTTGCAGCTTACAGCAGTTAAAACCTAGGAAGTTACATAAAGATGTAGGCACTCCACAAGGTATAAAAAATTCAGAAGGTTATAGCAAAAGCCAGGTACCACTTTACTTCAGAAAGATGGTGAATGGTCTCATCCTAGGTATCCAACTGGCCTTGGCTCAGAGCTGAGTTGATCTACATAGGCTCCCAAAATCTCTCCAGAAATCTTTATTTTTCCTCATTCCTTCACTTCTAGGTATTTACGACAATCATTTTCCCCTGGACAGCTTACCTGAGGAGCCAGGTACTACAGACAGGTTATAATGATGCTGAATGCAATGCTCTCTCTTCTTAGGAGCAGTTATCAATAAAATATAATCCAGCTCACAATAGAGGGCATTTTAATATGGCTGGAGTGACCGTGTAGCTGGGACGGTACAAAAAATATGTGAGTGGCCAAGTAATTTGTGGGTGATAACATTTCTTGGACCTGCTGCATGGTTGGATAGGCTTTGACATGCTTTCAGGCCTTTTCTCAGGTTTTGTCTCTCTAAACTTTCATTGGCACAGGTATGCCAGTTACAGGGGAAAGGTTACTTCCCCCCCAACCCCCAGCATAGTTCTGCATTTGGTATAGGTGAGGCTGCATTAAAACTACCAGCCTAGACTCTGTGTTGACTGGCAGAGATTATTCATAACGCTATGGACAGCAACAGATGCCTTCTCTTACATATTAGACTAATGACAGGCAGTCTCAGATAAAGCACCTGATTCTGTGGTTTGCAAACAAGAGATAAATTCCACTCATCTGAGTCAAATCTATTCAAATCTGAGGCCTCTGGGCCTGTTCTTCTACTATTATTTGCATCCTACAAATTGTGATGGAGAAGCATCATGTAGAGTGAGTCAGAACCCAGACACCTCGTTCCACTAGAAACTCCAGCAGTGAGAGATCGGGTATGCTGTATTAGACTGAAAACAGTCAAATATGACATTTCTCACTTTAAAAAAAAAAAAATCCTACACTTAGACTTTATTTTAAAAAAAGACTAAAATGTATTGTGATTTGTCCTTCCTGAAATGCTTTGCTATCTCCCACCTCAACACAGAGGTTGCCAAGAAATTTCCTTGAGCAGAAGTTTACAGAGTTTTCAAACAGCTAAATGGAGGAAAGTCTGGCAGAGCACCCGCTGGAGCTGAAAGTGCAACTTAATTAAAGAGTTGACAAGAGTCCCCGAAGTGTGGGAAAGTTTGTGTATTTTCCTCCCCTTAGATTTCAAAGCTATTGCTGATGAGTAACGTAATGGTCACAAACTTGACTTGGCTTTTGTAAAGACAGTGTTTTTTATGACCTGCCTGCTCCCCTCTCTCCACTACTGAATTTACTCAATAAGCTGAAAATGCATGATGAAAAAGTGTGCCTTTATTCAATGAAGAAAATATATATTTTTAAGGCTGATTTCAAATTGTTTATATATGTTGTCTATGTTGCATTTTTTCAACATTTTAAAATATTTTTTCAACTTGTGGGCGAGAATTGTTATTATATTATTTGAATCTTGAAATTGAAATGGAGCTCATGCCTGAGAATTTTTAAATTAATTTACTTCCTTAGAAAACAACTGCTGCCCCTTACTAAAGCAATGCCACGCCTAGAACTGTCACTTCTATAATTTTAGAGGGGGTTTTCAAAGAGATTTATGTGGATAGCTCATGTACTTGCTTTTTAGCCAATAACTCTTTATTTTTTATAAATGCTTATATGGGATGTGAAAAAGAAAATATTTTGGGAAGAGAATAGGTTACAGGAGAGTAGGTTTGTAAATATTTGGGGTGTGGGAACTTCTTTTTAAATAAACGACAGCATTTTTGGAAGAGCTGAAACTTCTTACTGAAGTGGTCACAGAAAGAGATAAAGCAGATCAAGGTAAGTGATTCCTGTTTTCTTTTAGTCCTACTTTACGCAGGCGAAGATTGTTAAAAATAGATTTATCTTTATTAGAAACAGCACCATGTTTCTTCTTAAAGGTCTGCATATGATACTGACAGAAGAAGTGTCATATAAATCTTTCTCAAAATGTATCTCAGGTATTACATTTCAATTAAATCACATACATTTTACTTATAACTATTATTACTTCTACTAGAAGTATTATTAATAAAATGTTTTATTTTATTTTATGTTATTTTTTTTTACCTACAAATGTGCATGAAAGGGCTTTTTTGATGTGATAAAGGAGATGATACAATTAAGAATTAAAAGGTGGAAATTATTAATGAAAACAGATTATTTCTGTCATGGTAGCTATGTATTCAAAGGAACCTGGAGAAGAGGAAATGCTTGTAAAGAACGGGTTAAAACATTACTCTCCAGGAGTTAATTCCAATATCCCTGTTCACATTAACAGATTCAGGATTTCACCCAGCCACTTTAAGGGCTATTAAAAGTGTTAGATAAACAGAGATTTAGTTTAACATAGCATATCATAAACGGTCTGTGTTGTATAACATAACATAGATGATGTATAATATCATATCATATATTTCCACTTCAATGACTTTGAACCCGCCCCCACCCCCAAGAAGGATTATTTGTGTTACGTGCTTCACAACTCTATTACACAGTAAATTGGGGCCTGTGTTCTCTGAAAGTTTCCTCTTTAGAGAGGACGTAGACCCCAAATTACTGGTGGTACCGGTGTATGAAACACATAACACAAACAATCCACTCTTTCAAGACTTTCCCTTGTCCCTAGCTTTGCAAGTAAGAGGCTAAATCCTAATTATCTTTTTGTGCCTACATGGTATGTACAAAGTTTGGAAGCTATAGACATCTAGGGTTTCTAGTTCACTCTGCCAGAAGGAAAACAGGCACCGAGGCAGAGGACTGCAGAGCCCCAGGGAGATCCTGGGGACCAAGGATGGTTTGAGAAGCCGGCCCCAGGAAAACCACGCAGACCAAAAAACAGTGTCAAAGAAATCTTAACAGCACTTCCAATATTAGAATACAAACCACAGGAAATTCCTAAGACAGGACAGATAAAGCAGAGCAAGCTGCTGATTAAAAAACAAACAAACCAAAAAAATTAAATGAAACGAGTCACAGAATTGTTAGAACAAAAAGAAAGAAATCTTTAAGTTACCAATTCTTTTAACTCTCCAATGGGTGGCCAGCCTGTCTGGCAAAATAACTTCTTACTGAGGTTTCAGAAACTCGGTTTCGTGAAGCACTGATATTAGTTCACCGCAGAGGGGAAATACAGCAAGGATCTGGGTTGCTGCGTGAAAAGAGTTTCTGAGGCAGACCTGGGGTCCTTATCACCAGCTTTTAGCTGGGCTTAAAAACTTTACTAAATAAAATTAGTACAAATCAGGTTATCGGATGTTAAAAAATCATGCCTATTCATCAATGATATATAATTAATCCATCTAATATGGTAATAAGGTATTCTTTATCCATATCCCAGGGCATAGACATATTTTAGTTGGCAGTGGGTCCATCTACACGAGAAGCTTAACATTGCATTAGCATAGTTTACCGAGAAGTAAGCAACTCTGTCTACACATGCACATGCTTACTTCACAGTAAAGCTCCCTAATCCTGAGTAAATTTGTGACCTGAAATGGCATAGTGAATTTATTTGAGATTAGTAATGGTGCCGTAGTGCTCATGTAAACATCTGATTGGGAGCAAAATCTGGTCCAGGTCAGCCATCCACCTGGAGGCAGGAGGAAGCTTCCTGTCCATGGGAGCTGCCTGCTAGCCGGGCGGATGCCACTACAGGTGCTCAGGTGGAGACTATGTCCCCCTGCCCTAGCAGCAGGGAGCTCCAAGCCCTCTGCTCTGAGATCATGACTGGGGCCTGGGGACTGGGAGATCCTTATGTCCTGGCCCCCACTCTGTCATTGGACTGGGGAGTGGGGGCTGGGAGACCCTTAAATCCCATTCCCAGCTCCGTGATTGGGACCCAGTGCTGGGAGATCCTTATTTCCCGGACTGAGCTCTGTGGTTTTGGGACTCGGGCTGGGAGATAAGCATCTTCCATCACTGGGCCTGTGATCGTGGAGCCAGTGCTGGGAGCTCCTCGCTGGCGGGGATGGAGAAACGTGGAGCATGGAGTTGGGCAGGGAACATGCTCGCTTGTTCCCAGCTCAGTTCTGTACTCACAGAGCTGGGTGGGGAAAGCCCCTCAGCCTGTCCCACCCCCCAGCTCTGTGCTGATGGACCTGAAAGGAAACAAGCCCCCAAGCCTTTCCTTCCCCACCATCCCCCAGCTCCAGGCTCGCAGAGCTGAGTGGGGAAAAAGCTGCCCAGCCTCTGCCTTGCATGCAGGGTGGGGGCTGGGAAATGTCCTGGTCAAGGACAGGTCCAAGCCCCATGCACAATCAGGTGATTGAGGCATGGGGCTTGGAAAGATATGCAGGGGTGAGGTAGGTGCCAGCCCTCTACCCTGATCTGCTGGTGGGTAAGCTAGTAGTGACATAGCTGCCCCACTGGCAGATTTGGGGAAGGGAGCTGGGACCTTTTCCTCCCCTGCAGCTCTTTCCAAGTCCCCTGCCCCTGATCAGGGAGCCAGGGCAGGAGCTCCGTGCTACTGGGGCACGGGGACATTGTCCCCACTCCAGCAGCAGGCAGACCCAAGGAGCCGCGAGGCAGTTGTCACTTCCCCCTTGCTGCCTGCCAGCCCCTGTGCTAGCACCTGGGGGGAGTCTGGAGCTCCCTGCGGTGGTGGCAGGGGTCCATGGCAGGGCTGCAGGAATCTTGATACAAAGAGCAGCAAATCTTCTCTCTCATCCATCCATTTGTAGCTGCATGCCTGAAAGTACTGCCGATTAGTTTACACTGGAATAAATCGAGGTCAGAGTTAATCCTTGTGTAGATGCACCCAGTAGAAAGCTAGGTCTCTGGGAAAAAAACAAAACAAAACAGATTTGACCAGTTTAAAATGACAGGGCTGGCTGGTTGAATGCTGTCTTGCCAACTGCTGCAGCTTCCTCAGCCTGACGAAGGGTTTTTGAACCCGAAAGCTTGCTTAATAACTATTCTCCAACCATTTGGGTTGGTCTAATAAAAGATATCAAATTCACCCAAGGAACCTTGTCTG